ACGTATCTTAAAGTACTCCACATCAAATGCTAAAAATCCTAGCTTTAAAATTTGTGATATAATGGGGTTAGAAAACTTCCAACTTTTATAATTAGCCCGGGTTGACCTCCATACACCGAAAATGCTTATCATACAATTCCATACATTAAGTGTGTGGGAAAATGCTTGTCATACAGTTTTCATACAATTTCTAAAAATGGTTGAAAACTGGTATAAACTCGTTTCTGTGGCTGTTTGATTCTAATAAAACAGTCTGGTGATAAAAACTGAGGTTTTCGTTTTTTGAAAAAAAATGCTTATCATACAATTCCCATATATGGAAATTGTATGACTGGCATTTTTTTTGATGGCGACAAAAAGTAATTTTGAAATTTTGGCCCAAAAATTTTTTTGTTTTTTTTTTCAATCGCAAATCGAATTTCGTACGCAAACAAACATTTTTCGAAAAAAATTTTTTACATGCAAAATTGAATATTTTGTGTGCATAACGTAGTCCAGGATACGATAAAATTGGCTTCTATTTTCTTTTCACTCAAATTTTTTTTCAAAAACGCGGAAAATTCCTATTTCTTCTGTATGGGGTGTTAATGTATGCCTTGATCAATGTCTCATAATTTGAAAATTCAAAAATTTAAAATAATCATCATTAAAAAATTTAAAAATGTACTACCCAAATCACTCGGTGAAATAGTGCACCTCAAATACATCACTTAAAAAAGCAGACCAGCTTATTAAAAAAAAACAGGCCATTTCTTCCTGGCGAACTGTCATTAGGTGTAAGCTAAATAGCCATTTATTTATTACCGCTTGTAGAAAATGGCTATTAAAATTTTCAAAGTTTTTTTAATTTGGACATGCTTTTCGCCAAAACTAAAACCTGCAACAAATTAAAAAGCAGTTGATTTATTCAGTAACTTTTTACGTACACATAAAATTATTCAAGACAATGTCCTGATACAAAAAAAATGAATATAGATCTTTTCAAATTTCTCGAGTGAAATTTTTAGTTAAAATTTATAGTGAAATGTGTTATTATAGGGGCGGTTTGGGGGGGGGGGGGGGGGTGCTTTCTTTTTTAGGAATTCGACCCCCTCACCAACCAAAAAGCTAACAATCCGGTTTCAAAATTGTTAGCTTTTGTTATAGTTTCTGCTAAAGGGGAGCAAAAAAATATCAGTAAAATTGGAATTTCAAGCAATTATCAGATAAAAACTGAAATAAAAAAGACGCATTCACAAGCATTGTAACTTGAAAAAATGAATTTTTTTTGAGATTTTTTTCAATACGAGCACTGTAGTTAGACTAAATTGCAGCAAAAGCGGGAAAATTAAAAACAGTTTGATTGTGTCAGAATGAGCTATTATAATAGAAATATTGAGCACTATTTGAACTTTTAATTTAAGCAATCAAAGTTTTCATCTTTTTATTGAAAATTGACTGTGACCATGATTTTTTGTGCAGTTTACGCGGTTGATGTAGAGCTAACGGATGTAAAAAACTACAATAGAGCGTCTGCTGGAGCATTTTAAATAACTATTAAATAAATTGTTTCAGATATTTGGCCATAGGAGCCGAAGCATTTTGAAAAGCTTGTAACATAAATTTGAGATGAATCTTATCTACCCTCTGCTAGGCTAACGGTAAATTAAAAACTGTTATCTGAATAACACATTTTTGAGACCGTTTCTTTTTCAAATTGGGAAAGTTTTTTCCAAATATCTTCTTGGCATATGATAACATACTTTTCCCTCATTGGCTTTTTGAAGGTGTTTTTGATTGTGCAGACAAAAACCCCTATGTCGTAGTTATTTACCACTCTTTGTGAGTTCTGTACCAAAAAATTATTGATACTTTTGAAAAGAAAAACTTTATCGAAACAAAAAACAGCCAGGGGGGTTTGGGGGGGGGGTGCTTTCTTTTTTTAGGGATTCGACCCCCTCACCAACCAAAGAGTCCCCTTTGGTTTTATCTTATAAACTTCATTTTCGGCCAAGCATTCCTAAAATTTTTCTAAAGGTTCAATTAGCGCCATCATTTACTAATTTTGAAGGGCAGCGCGTCGCAAAACGCAATTTTTCGGTCAAAATTATCCAAAATGGACCTAAAAACGGCACTTTTTACTGTTTTTTTATTCAAAGTTTGTCTGCGGAACACAATGTTCTGTCAAAATATGGCCTGGAAGCGCTCGGAAAATACTTTTGGTCATCCTTTTCTATTTATTTTGGGAGTGCTCAGAAAATCATTTTGGTCAACTTTTTCTATTTATTTTAGATGAGATGTTTTTCAATCCTGCAAAAAATCACTTTTAGATCAATTGCAAATTTTCTAATGTAACGATATCTTTTAAGGTAACTTACGCATGCTTAATTTTATTTTATTTTGCCAACACTCAACATAGATTCAATATGGATTTGCCAGAGTTTGGCCATTTTACAGTTTTGAATCGTAATTTTTGGTCTGCCGAAATGCCCAAAAAATAGTGAAATTATACCAGTTTGAGCCGAAAACAGAGGAATCCCAAAATTGCGAAAAAAACGCAAAAGGGCGGAATTTTTCAGTTTTGAATGTAAATAACAATGATTCAGATAATTTTACGTTTGTCTAAACAAACTAGCCATAGTACTTGTCTTTTTGATTGCTTTGTAATTTAGGGTCTTAAGCACAAAACGGCCCAAAATCAAAATCTTTATACCTTTTATCTAAAATTAATGCGGCAGATGCATGTCAGTCAACTGTTCCAGCAGAAAAAAAAACATTAACCGAAGTAATTGAGAATTTGAATCTTAGTCAAATAATAAATTTAATTCCTAGTTTTTTTGTGAAATTATACCCAAAGAAAAAAATTCAATAAAATAGTATCAACGCGAAAAAAATTCTATGGTTTTGATCATTTCGGTCAATAATTTAATCTGCTTTAAATTTTAATTGAAATGCCGGACCATAAGGTTTGCATTTGGATTGCTAATGAACCAATCAGATTAACCATATATTGATTTAAGATCAAGATGTAGAAATACTTATTTTGGGTCGTTTTGCACATAAGACCCGTAATTTGGACTAGTTTTTAGGCGAACTGTTTTTATGTCTTACTTGACCATATTTTTTATTTTGAACCGTCCTCACATTTTGTAGGAGAGCGTTAACCTAACTGATGTTTGACAAGCACAACTTTGAGACAATCTGGAGGAAAACTGATGATGGCCGAAAAACACGCTTTTGTTGGCGAAAACGCAGTTTTTCCTCCAGAATGGGCACGGAAAGTCAGCTAAAATACGCCAAAAATTACGGTTCCTGTTTAAAATAGCTTTAGATTATTGTTCCGGCTTTCGAAGAAAACGGAATATTTATGCTCGTTGTGATTTTTTTCTTCTCTTAATTTTCTTCGATCGAAATAATAGTTTTCAACAAAAAATTTTTATACCCCATTGAACATATCAACTTCCTGAGTTCAAATGTAAAAAGATATTTCACCTCAGATAATTTTTTGGAAACTTCTGGGGTTTGAAAATTGCCAAATTTGCCAAGTTCTGGGCTAAAGTATGCGCGCTTTGAAGAGTTAATTCATAATTCTGAGAGCGTAAGGCGAATAATTTATGCGTGGCAAATAATCCCGCATAAGCAAATCGTTCCAAAATTGAATTGAGGCTAGCTAATTGGTCGTATTAATTTCGTACGACTCAAAATTTTACACTTTAAATTGTGCAAAATGAATAGGTTTTCAATGATTTCTTTTCCCAAAAACTATTCGATATGAATTAAGGGACAGTCAGAACATTCAGAGCTTTGCCCTGATTTACGAGCAGTCTTGTTATAAATAGGGAAAGTGCTTTGTCATAAAAGTGAGATTTATAATGGTGAAAGAGTTTTTCACGCAGCAAATCCTCGATATGTCGCAAAAGCATCAATCGCTTCGTCTGCCTTCTCTGCGTTGAATTGCTCGAAAGTGAAAGCTGAGCAATTCAACCATAACCATAACTCTGGAAAGTCAAATTCCTGTTACGTGATTTTCGAATTTAGAACTGAACAATTATGGATCTTAGGAGCCACTTAAAAATATCCTCCACCGTTCAAAGTTTAACAACAGATTATTTAATTGACTGAAGTTTGCTGAAACTACCTTGCGAGAACCGAAGAAAAAGAATGCAAAATTCAATACAAGGAATCAGTTTCTGTGATTTAACTGAATCAGTTCCCACCACAATGATTTAAGAAGTAAAACTCAAATACAGAGAAAAAGTTTTGAAGTAACAAACCAAACTATTCGTTTCCAGTTACATATTGAAATACAGAGAAAATTTTTTGCAAATAGCGACAAAAGCTTTCTAATTTTTTGTTCAAAAACGTGTTTCAATTTTTTTTCTAAACTTCTGTTCTTTCAAATTTTTTAAAAGAGGCAACTGAATTAGGAGAAAAACTGAAAGAATGAGAAGTTACAGTAACTAAATTGACGTTAAAAGTTCAGGCTTTCATCAACTTTTGTCTGATTTAGTCTTAAAAACAAAAATATTCAAAATTTTGGAGGTTTTTTGAAAACCGAATCACGGCTAAAAAGCCTTTAAATGATACCAGTCTTGACCTCTACAAGCTTTTTGAGGTAGTCAAAATCCGCCGGAAAAAAACAGACCATATTCCATAGATCCTTCCCACCTCTTGAAGTGCTCGGAACAATTGGCTATCCAATATGCAAAAAAAAACATGTTATTTTTGATGTCATATAGAAAAAAGCAAACATTTTCCGCAAAGCAATTTGATCGTGTTTAATATGCAATTTGATCAATTTTAATAGGCTACCCTATCCAGGGAACTTTCCAATTTGAATCTTACGAATCGTTCTCGCAAATAGTTTTTCTATGTGCTCGTAAGGGCAAATTTAATCAAATTTGATTCGAAAACTTCAAACTGAGACGACGATGAAACAATTAATTCTCTTGCAATCTTTTTCATCAATTTTCTTTTCAATGTAAACATGGCGGTTTTAAACGTGTTTGAATTGGACTTACCGTTTTTTCATTGGATTAACCATTTGTTATAACCTCGAAATTACAGCTGATCATAACAAGCTTCTGTGAATCCCAACAAAGCTGCCCACTTAAACAAAAGGTAGGCGGAAAAACTCAAAATAAAGGAAGTTTATTTAGAAAATAAATCTGCTCAAACCAGAACTTTTTATCAAATGGCCGTGAAAGGAACAGCCGATAAAAGTCTCAAATTTCCTCAAAGTTTCAGTCTATAAACATGTAATCACCTTTCAGTTATGTAGACGATTATTAGGTCAAGTTGTGACACCTAAACAGGTATTTAGGTCAGTAAACTTCAAAACCTACTTTGATAAAATAAACTTCTGAAGTGTCTTTTGATATAACTGTCTGCGATTACTGGTAACAATGAGTACTGAAGTCGTAAATGTCATTGGCTATTTTAATAATAGTAATTCAAAGGAATCCAGAGAACTATGTCTATATTTTATCTCAAGGTAGCTATCTAATCCCATTTCCGCTCTGTAATTTTATAATTTGAGCTCATATTTAAATAGCAAGGTGTTTTTGTTTTGTTACGTCACCGTTAAATATCTGATTGATGAAGAGGTAAAAGAGAGTATACAGAATTAATGAACTTCAGTCGCGCAGAAGCAAAAAAGAAGAGACTGTGAAGTTATTTTTATCCTCTCTACAAGGCCTGAATTTATTTTAGCCCCACACTCTAGAAGGCTAAAAAGCCATCTTGTTCAAAATCAATAAGGCTGACATTAACTCGGGCCTTGACACGACATTATACATATGTCTATTTGGTTTATGAGAAAGACTTTCTTTGTCAGATGGTAAGACTGAACTAAAGTGTAAGCGGTGTTTTATTAGCTCACCAGTCCAGGACATATTTGGAATTGATTCTGTGATATGATAAGAGATCAGATTTTCTGCTCTACAAGATTTAATATTGCAAATTGCGTATGAGCCTTCAAGAAAAGGTCAGTTTAAATTAGTTTATGATCATTTTTTTGGGACATCAATTTTGATCAATGAAGAGCTCTTGTAGAATCACAGCTATGTGCTTGATATGACCACATTTGGAATTACTCCAGCCTTCAAGTTATTAAAAATTAAATTAAATTTTCAAGATTAATTTTAAAAAAGCGAAATCTTAATTCAATTTTGTGATCAACAACCACCGTATGTTCTTGATTAGAAACATAACCGTAAAAACTTATGTTTTGAAAGCAAACTATCTTCCTGCAAATTATACCCATGATAAGATAACGATTCCCCAGCTAACTTTCATATAAGATTGGCAATTTCAGTACATATGATTTGGCTAACTCTTTATTGTTGAACCACATTGCTTTTTTCTGCTTGAGATTAGATTAAGGCATCAGCAGCTGATAATAACGAGACTGCTACTACATCATGGCAAAACCCAGAATGTCCCGACAACCCCATAAAGTCTAAAGAACAAGTCACTCTTTGAAAATTTCACAAATTAAAAAAAAATGTAAGAAAAAAAACTAAAGAAAAATTAGTTTTGAAAAAACCCCACATAATTAATATTCCCAAGATTTTGTCTCAAATCATTTTGGAACAATTTTTGAGCCGGACTACATCGCCAGTTACTTTCAATAGAATATATTGTAGCTACTTTCTACGTGATTTTGAATAAATAATTTCTTCTTTTTCTTCTTTTAAGTATACCGTTCGTTAATTTTCCCAAATTTTCCAAATTGACGACATTTTTAAAACCGCCATGTTGTGATGATTTGTTTTATGTCTATCTTAATGACCTTCGGTTTTTATTAAATACCTGTTAACTCTGCATGATTCGAAAATCGGTCGATCAGTGTGTGTTGGTTCTAGTTTTAATTTAGAACGTTTTAAATTCACATTTTACTTAACTTGTTTTTTTTTCTTTTAAGTAATGGTACATTAACTGTACATACCTACGTAAATTAAAAAAACACTTTGATATGACGCACTCAAATGAATCGAACGTGGAATCCGCCCCCCCCCCTTTTTGGCCGAACCATACACATAGATAGTCTCAACGGTACCGGAAATGCAAATTCTTATTTGGAGCAAACCACTGGAAGCGAGTCGGAAACAGACAGCGCAGTAGAGAGACGAGGAACAAGAACGCGATGAAACAAAACGAAGCCACCGAGGAAAAGCGGATAAACGAAGAAAAGAGAAAATTCAATAGGATGAAATGGGCTGAAACTGACAAAAATTTCCGCTCGATTTTGTTTTTAGCACTTAGGAGCGAAGGAAAAAGGGTCTTTGCTCAAAAAAACCTTCAGGTAAAGATTTTAGCTATCTCATTCACAGAACTCTGAACATTTCTTGCCACCGCATTTACTAAACCTCCTAATACAACGTTCGAGAGGTACAAACTACTAAAACGTAAGTAAAAAGATCGGGAATCATTCGAACAATTCTGGGGAGCACTGACGGACTTGTCGAGTACATGCAACATAAGGGAGAACGACGAAGCCGAATGGATAAGAGATATCTTCATTTGTAGCATGAAGAATACGGAAACTCAAAGGAAAAATACTCGCAGCCACGATAAGCCTATCGGAAGCGCTCAACCAGGCCTTGATTGTTGAACAAGGCTGTTTTAACCACCGAAACTTGACAAACATAGCGAGATCCTCGACCAATGGGCCAACTTCTAAAGCTTTTAAATCACATAACCGAATCAATAAAGAACTAAGCATCAAGATAGAAAGAAAAGTAATGCGTGCATGAAATGTGGGAACCCATTTACGAAAGGACATCTAAACGTATACTCAGCGAAGGACATAACATGTAAGAACTTTAATTACAAAGGACCCTTCGCTAAGCTATGTAAATCCCGTAACAAACGTTCCACTGTAAATACTGAATCTGATAATTATCAAAACACTGAGACTTGTACACACGTCCGACCCGAAAGTTCGTGGAGTGAAAATCAAGAAATGTGCGGAGTTATAAACACCTGGAACAAATCAAATGCAGACAGAGTGACGACGACGAATTCTCGGTATTGAGCGTTAGAACAATATACGATGAAAATGGACTCGAAACCAAGAAACTTTAAAATATAGGATTGGGATGGGAAATGATCGTGAACAATAACGAGACTGCTACTACATCATGGCAAAACCCAGGATGTCCCGACAACCCCATAAACAAAAATTCATTTTGAAAATAACCCACATAATTAATATTCCCAAGATCTTCTCTCAAATCATGTTAGAACAATTTTTGAGCCGGATTACATCGCCAGTTACTTTCAATAGAATATATTGTAGGTACTTTCTACGTAATTTTGAATAAATAAATTCTTCTTTTTCTTCTTTTAAGTATACCGTTTGTTAATTTTCCCAAATTTTTTAATTTGACGACATTTTTCAAACCGCCATGTTGTGATTTGTTTTATGTCTATCTTAATGACCTTCGGTTTTTATTAAATACCTGTTAACTCTGCATGATTCGACCATCGGTCGATCAGTTTGTGTTGGTTCTAGTTTTAATTTAGAACGTTTTAAATTCACACTTTATTTAACTTGTTTTTTTTCTTTTAAGTAATGGTAAATTAACTGTACATACCTACGTAAATTAAAAGAACATTTTGATATGACGCAATCAAATGAATCGAACGTGCGTGGAATCCTCCCCCCCCCATTTGGCCGAACCATACTCCAGAGCCACCGCATTCCTGGACCCAATGGAGCGACCAATTACAGTTAGCGATAAATGCTAAACAAAATCTGGACACAGATAGTCTCAACGGTACCAGAAACGCAAATTCCTATATTGGAGCAAACCACTGGAAGCGAGTCGGAAACAAACAGAGCCAGTAGAGAGACGAGGAACAAAAACGCGATGAAACAAAACGAAGCCGCCGAGGAAAAGCGGATAAACGAAGAAAAGAGAAAATTCGATGGGATAAGATGGGCTGAAGCTGACAAGAATTTCCGCTCGATTTTGTTGTTTTTAGCACTTAGGAGCGAAGGAAAAAGGTTTTTTGCTCAAAAAAACCCTCGGGTAAGGATTTTAGCTATCTCATTCATGGAATTCTGGACATTTCTTGACACCGCATTTACTAAACCTCCTAATACAACGTTCGAGAGGTACAAACTACTAAAACGTAAGTAAAAAAATCGGGAATCATTCGAACAATTCTGGAGAGCACTGACGGACTTGTCGAGTACATGCAACATAAGGGAGAACGACGAAGCCGAATGGATAAGAGATATCTTCATTTGTAACATGAAGAATACGGAAACTCAAAGGAAAATACTCTCAGCCACGATTAGCCTATCGGAAGAGCTCAACCAGGCCTTGATTGTTGAACACGGCCGTTTAAACCACCAAAATGTGACTAACATAGCGAGATCCTCGACCAATGGGCCAACTTTTAAAGCTTTTAACTCACATAATCGGATCAAGAAAGAACCAAGCATCAACATAGAAAGAAAAGTAATGCGTGGATGAAATGTGGGAAACCATTTACGAAAGGACATCTAAACGTATACCCAGGGAGGAAATAACATGTAAAAAATTTAATTACAAAGGACCCTTCGCTAAGCTATGTAAATTCCGTAACAAACGTTCCACTGTAAATACTGAATCTGATAATTATCAAAACACTGAGACTTGTACACACGTCCGACCCGAAAGTTCGTGGAGTGAAAATCAAGAAATGTGCGGAGTTATAAACACATGGAACAAATTCAGACAGAGTGACGACAACGATTTCCCGGTATTGAGCGATAGAAAAATCTACGATGAAAATAGACTCGAAACCAAGAAACTTTAAAGTATAGGATTGGGATGAGAAATGATTGTGAACATGAACATTCTGGTAAACTCAGAGAGCCCTGTTAGCTTTATAAACAAAACGTGTTGCACGAATTTAGGCTGAGATATCCCAACCTTAAAATTTATCCTGTATTGTGGTTTTACTGATGATACCATCAACATTCTGGAGAGATCATTGTTAGGACGCAATCCAACGGGTGGATTAGTGAAGAAACGCCATTCTTTATCACTGATGGTCACGAACGCAAAATACTGGGGAACGATAACTTACCAAGGTTAGCATCGAAGTGAGTTAGAAGAAATGCCGCAAGCCAATTTGCTCAGTCAGTCAAACACCATTCGAGAGTAATTGGAATAAACCATACTTACCACCTGATAGGTTTTTTATTAGGTTGAAAGAACTAACGATCGCAAGAGATCCTCTACACTTACTTGCGGGAGTTAACGAACAATTAGGAAGAATGGAGACCGAGGGTCACATTATAGAACTTGAAAAGTTTTACAAAGATTGTTTTTTAACCCGATTGTTATAATCAAGACGAAAAACGGTTCAATTGATTTGGCATAAGATTCTAAATTGGTAAATGACCAGAAATTAAAAAATAATTACCAAATGCCAAACATCCACGAACTCATAGATAACGTGGCCTTAAAAATCTCAGAAAAACCTACCGGGCAGGTTTGGTTTGGCAACTTGGATCTGAAAAATGCATACAGCCAACTTAAATTGTGGGAAAAAACGAGTAAGCAATGTAACTTCACTATTGTGGGCGGTGAAACAACGGGAACGTATCGGTTTTTAACTGGATTTTACGGACTGGATGATATGCTCAACGAGTTTTACCGGGTCATGGACTCACTTTTACAGAACATACCGTTCGCAAATTGTTATGTAGACGATATACTGGTGGCATTGAAGGAGTCACTGGAGGAACATGAAGCAATTGTAAAAAAAACTCTAACAATTTTGGACAAGAACAAAATGGCGGTGAAATGTGTGAAATGGGTGAAATGTGCATTCTTTGAATCAGAAATTGAGTGGCTATGCTTCAAATTT